CCTCCTCATCTCCCCTGCATTCTCCTGCAGGGGATGTGACATCTCATGTCTACCACTGTCTGTGGCGCTAGAGTCTAAGCTTCTTAAGAGCAGAGATCTCAGCTGCTCTGTCTGTATTCTTAGCACCCCGCCTAGGGTCTGGCCAAGTACTCAATAACATCTGAGGAAAAAAAATGAATGAATTCAGATGCAGAGAAGGAAGAGAGACTGCTGGTTAACAGCTCAGCCGCTCAGATTTGAATCCCCATGCAGTTACTTATTACTAGTATGCGCTTCAGTCTGCTCATCGGTAAAATGGAGACAAGAGGAGCAACTACGCTCAGAAGATTAAAGTGAGGGTTCAGTAAGATGGTACAAAGAAAGGCCTGAGTCCTGATCTGAGACCATCAGGTAGGAACGAAGGCAAACGCAGACTTTGCTCTTGAATATTACAGGAGTTGCCAAGTAACTCTTGAAAACTGGGAAAACATAACCACCAATTTGGTGTGGGGGTTGACTAAGTTAGCACCATGAGGGCATGGTTATGTCCACTTAACACCAAGGAGGGACATATGCATGGTGCCCAGGGGCTGAGAGCCTGCAGTGCAGCCAAGAGGGGCCAGTGGAGTCAGCAGGAGAAATGGAAATCACAATTCTAATAGAAAAGTTCTTATGGGAGGTCTTCTCTACGTCTCTCCCTCCAACTGTCACTCTGCTGTCAGGAACTGAGGCATTCCAGCAGACTCTGAATCCTTTTGCTTGCTGTAAATAAGTCTCCAATCTATCCTCCTCCCCTTGCTCTCACCTCAGCAGTGCTGCCCACAAGACACTGCCCACACAGCTCTGCCAAGACTAATTCATGTTCTTCAGATACTCCTACTGCAAGTTTTCTTTTTCACAGAATGAGTGGCTGAAATCACTTTAATGTTTCACAAAGCAAACAATCCTAGGAAGACTGGCTCGGGGGTAAGAGGAGAAAAATCAAATATATCACAGAACAGCCTGAATAAAGCAACTTTATATTGCTGGGTTCTCTGCAATTTTCACGTCAGGCATTGTCTTTAAAATTAGGAAGTTAAGTGAATGAAAGGAGGGCTCCTTCACAGCCATGCTCCCAAGCAGACCACAGTCATACATCACAGAGGCAGCCTGCAGGGCTGCAAAACGAGATGCAAATACAAAGCTCTAAAGCTAACTGTGCAGGCACAGCTCACTGCCCATCCCAGCACCCCACTGCCCATCCTCTTCCCTGCTGTAGCTCAACTACAGAAACTAAAAAGCCCAAGCCTGCTTTCCTAGTCTCCCTTGAAGCTGAAGGTGGCCATAACACACTTGGGGCTAACAGGACGTCAGTGGAATTCTACTGGTGATTTCTGGGAAAGTTTTTGTTTCCCAGATAAAAGGAAGTTTTTGGCACTGCTCCTTCTGCTTCTTCCCCCCTGCTTTTTTTTTTAAATAGAGATGGGGGTCTTGATATTGCCTAAGCTGGTCTTGAACTCCTGGCTCAAGTGATTCTCTCACTTCAGCCTCCCCAGGTGCTGAGATTACAGGCATGAGTCACTATGCCCAGTCCTTTCCTGTCTTGAATGGAGACGCGAAGTCTGGAGCTGTATGTAGCAACCATCTTGCAAACATAAGGTGACAGGGAGAAAGGGTCAAGAGAACTACTGAGATGCCAACTCAGAGTATTATCCTAGTTCAGTCTTGGTGGCTTGTTATGTGGGAATAGTAATTTCCTGTTTGTCTAAACCACTGTATCTCGGGTTTCCAGTTGCTTGCAGCTGAAAGTATTACTAGCTGATTCAACATCTCATCCTTATCTATATAGCAGGACTTCTTCACTAACTCAGGTCTACTTTTATCATACCAAGTTTTAAAACAAATGTCCTATCTCACTCAATCTTTGAAGTTTTAGACCTAATTTCCCAAATAATCCAAATGACAATTTCCCTATTATTTCATATATCTATTCAAGTATCTCATGGCCATTTCAAACTGCAAAGGGTCAGGACTCTATCTCTTCCAGGACTCGCTATCCCAGCAGGCAGCTTAACCATCCATGTGGTATTCAAGCCAGGGTTTCCTTGATGCCACCATCTCTTATATACTCTCTTCCACTATAATACCAAGCTCTATGGATTTTGCCACCTGAGTATTTTTCTGACCTACTCGCTTCTCTCTACTATTCTCACCTACATCTAAATTTTGCACACCTGGACCATTGCAATAGCTTTCTAACTGGTCTAACTGTATCTCTGTATCTCTCTTACCCTTCCTTCCACAGTGATCTTATAAAAACATAAATCTGACCACGTCATTCCCTTCCTTAGAATCCTTTAGTGGTTTCCTATAGTCCCCATGGTTAAAGTGCAAATTCCTTAAGAACCTAAAGGCCTTGCCTGATTTATCCCCTAAACACCTCTCCAGCCCTATCTTGAGCCTTTCTGCTTGGCTCTTTTAGTTTAAACTACAGTGTCCTTCTTTCAGTTTTTGAAACCCATCATATACCTTTCTGTTTTAGGTCCACTACACATGCTGTTCCCTACATAGGTGTGTGAGGGGGGTTTTATGCAGTTTTATGTCTACCTAACCCTGCAGTTTTATGTCTATCTAACCCTTACTTATCCCTCTGTAGCCCAAAGAGTGGAGTTTTCATTTCAGATATTAAACTTTTATATTCTAGATTTCTAGGTGGTTCGTTTTTTTTCTTTTTAAGTTTCTACTCTCTCCTAAGATTCTCTATCTGTTCATTCATTAAGACCATGTTTTCCTTTAAGTCCCAGACCATTTATATAATATATGTCTTTGGCTTTATTTACTAATTCCAACATCTGGGTCATCTCAGGGTCTATTTTTATTGAAATACCTTCCCCCCCCCTTGATTTTAGGCCATAATTTCATGCTTCTGTGCAAGTCTAGCAATCTTTAATTATACGAAGGACACTGCAGATAAAACCTTGGGAGTCTGCATTACATTGTCTCCCTTTAAAGATGTTGAGATTTGTTCTGGAAGTTCCCTTTGAACCACTCACATTTACTTTCATTTTTTTATTAAAATAAGTCTATTTTGATTTTGTCCTTAGTTTTAGGGTGTCATCCCTACTCTAATGCATGGTCTTTATTGGGGGTCTCAACTACATACCCTTGGCTGAATTATAATGCCAACATTTCCCAGTATTGCACAGCCCCGCCTCATGTCCGTGTTTCTGTTCTGTTCTCAGCCCTATAGCATTATTCTCTGTTAGGCTTCGTGAAGTCTTGTTCTCTCTCTTCTGATTTTCAGAACAAACCAAGTGCTGACCTTTTTTTCAATACATTTGCACAGGAGTTCAGCAAGAACCAGGTGAGTCACCATAGTAACTAACCATTTCCACTGAACAGCTGAAAATTCACAGTCGACAATTTAAATAATGTTCCTCAGTTAGGTTATTAGATTTCCAACTAGAGGCTGAGGTCAAAACAAAAGATCTAATTAGGTGGCCTTTCCAACAATGCCCATAACAGAATCATCTGACAGCTCCAAGAGGTAACCAAGCATCTCTCTCACTGTAATGTAGTGGACCCCAACTGTCAGCAGATAGGGTCTCCCACTGCATAGGGTGATACAGAAAGCAACATCCTCAGCTTTTTTCTTCACATTCAGTCTCCAATATTGCTGTGCCTTAAAGGAACAAGGCACCATGTTAACAAGTTCTAATAAGCACTTCCCAAAGTCTATATGCTATTCTCTGCTGCATTAAGAATAAATTACAACGAGAAAACAGCCTCATTTAAGACGTGTTTTGTGTGAGGAAACTAGAGGTCATATTTCCATATGGCATTGGTATTGTGAGATGGTGTACTACAGTTCTAATTCACAAAGTTTTGTAGTGATCACAGGTTATTGAGAACCTTGTATTTTCTTTGTATAAGGACAACAGTATTGGATCTAAGCCAGAGTCAGTTTCAGTACCCACAAAACAACTCATGGGCCACCATGGAAGGGGACAACTATTCTTCTTATAGTAACTACCACAGGGGAAGAACTACCATGGCATACCATGAGTAGTCCTTCATGATGCTCTTACCTTTTCAGACTCTGCTTATGTCCAGTCTCATGCATATATAAGAATACAAATGTCACCAAATTGCCATGTGAATATCCCTCATATGCTTTAATCATTTCTCTCTGGAGTTTCAGGGAGTGACCCCTAAACTCCATCACCTTGAAACTTGATAAGCTCAAAGGACACATTGCACAGAGTGGTTCTAGTACAAACAGAACTGATTTTTTGCCCAGGCTCTTGGTGACTTAAAAAGCCCCTGCTTTCAGTGATTGATTTTGCCTTGACTCTCTCAACATGGAAAGGGCTAAAAGACACCTGAAAGACCACTTGGTCCGACCTGCTTATTGTATTGATGAGGAAACTAAGGCCCAGGAACCAGTTTATCAAGCTTTAGTGCCTGGCTTAGTTCACTTTCACTTGGCTTTCCCTCATGGAGCCCAGCCATTCTCTTCACTTCTTTTAGATAATCTCTTCTGGACCTCCATTGAAAAATTTAAGCGTGTGAAGTCTAGAGTTGGATGGGAAAGACATGCACCAAACTTAATAAACCAAAGGTCATTATCTGAGATTTCATTCTATCTTTCTGGAGGTCTCAGCAGAACTACATAGTTGAAGACATTTTTCTTTTCTCTCTCTTTTTCTATATAAGGAAGGCCCCCTCTCTCTTTTTGAAAGCTTTATCACTGACACAATTATGGATGATTTTTGACCTCTGTGGCAGTGAGCTGAAAGGTCAGCAAACAATGGCCTACAGTGACCTCCAGGTGCTATACTTGACTTAGAATGGAAGATCCAAGCCCATCACCAGCTAAGTGAGTGATGAGGTTCAGCTGCTTCCTGTCTGTACACCCATGGCTCCCAGCCCTTCCTAGAGCTCACCCCCTGTTACAGTAAGGCTCTCTAATACCCAGAAGCCTTCGGTGTTGCCTGCCAGCATGTAAGGCATTAGTGGGGAGCCTCCAGGCTGACACTCACCTTTGCATAAGCGGTTGTCTTAATAAACCACTGTTTGAGGTACTTCTGTTCCACCTTGGCTCCAGAACGCCAGGAACAGCCATGTTCATCCACCTGCTCATTGGCAAGCACTGTTTGATCCACTGGGTCCCAGTTAACCAAGGCCTGTATAATTCATGAAACAAAATGGCACAATCTGGTGAGTACTCTCAATGAGACCATCCTGAGGTTTCTTACATGTGAGAGGGCCTGCAAATGCAATGGCTCTGCTCCATGGAGTACTGCTTGGTAAAAAAATCATTTGCAAATTGTACAAAGAACACATTAATTTCCTCTGTGCTTTCATCTTATTAGAACAGGCTTGGGAAGGAAGCTGTTAAAGATGTGTCTAACTCAACTTTGGTATCTTATATGAAAGGATGAACTTGTAGGATGCAAAAATCTTAGCAAGCAGAATGAAAGAAGAAAAAATGGCACCTATTTAAAATTTAACACAATAGGATTATTTTAGGGAAATCTTCAGTGTACAACTCAAATTTTTACATGGGTATATACTCATGTAACCATGTTGTGCCTTCTACCTATCAATATCTGCCCCCCACAATGGTAGCTCTTCTGAGCTCTGTCTCCATAGATTCATTTTGCTGATAGAACACGTAAAACATGTAGTCTTAACTATTATGAAGATTCTCTCCCTAGAGTTCTAGTTAGTGTCTATCTTCATTTAAAATAACTACCCCTGTCATCTACATTCATACCTTTATGACATTCAGGTACCACTTGGTACAAAGAAGGGAATGAATAAAGAGAGATGTGTTGGGGACTTAAAATATCCTGACTTCATACACATTTTTTGTGACTTTTTTTTCTTTGAGAGAGAGTTTAGTTCTCCTTGACCAGGCTGGAGTGCAATGGTGTGATCTTGGCTTGTTGCGACCTCCACCTCCTGGGTTCAAGTGATTCTCCTACCTCAGCCTCCAAGTAGCTGGGATTAGAGGCATGTGCCGCCATGCCCGTCTAATTTTATATTTTTAGTAGAGATGGGATTTTGCCATGTTGGTCAGGCAGGTCTCGAACTCCTGACCTCAGGTGATCCACTCGCCTCGGTCTCCCAAAGTGTTGGGTTTACAGGCACGAGCCACTATGCCTGGCTGTAAAATTTTTAATAAGCAATTCTAATAAGAGATTTTGTTCACTATTATCCATTTGCCCCTCCAGACCCTTTTCCTGCCCTATTCTGTGGCCCAGGAATTTGACCTGCATTACCTTGGACCCTTGCCTTCCAGTTGGGTTCGAACAATGACAGGCACGCTGGCTGCTTCCTGCCCATGGGCTGGCAGGGGTCATGTGCCTCTTCTGAGGTCATCACCCGTTTGGGCAGGTCTCCCCTGCTGCTATAGCTACTGCTCTCCCAGGTTCCACTAACTGCTCCCTAGTGTTGCCCCTGCAGCCTAGAAATAGCAAAGGTATCCTTTTGCTACCAGGGTCAAGGGCATTGGCATCCCTTCTGAGTTTCCTTGAACTCCACACAAATAGTCCTTTATCAAATTTTCTTTAATGACTCCTTTTAGGTATGTGCTCTCTTTCCTGCTGGGACCGACTGATCCAGAGACATGTCTAAAAGTTATATAAAAGTAGAGGTGAGGGGAGGCTAACCCATCTGTGGGTTGTAATTTGTGGGCTGTGATTTTACAACTAGGAGTAGTGGCCCCATTGAAAAATTTAAGCATGTGAAGTCTAGAGTTGGATGGGAAAGACATGCATTATATACTGTTTCCCTTCTAAGATAGGGCTCCCAAAAGCCTTGACTTAATAAGTACATAGAGGAGACAAAATATGGCACAAAATTACCTTAGACCTAAAAACTTTAATAAACCAAAGGTCCATTTTCTTATCTATTATCCCTGCCTGTACTAGGGGGTTAGAGAGAAGGGTACCACTTAATTATTTTTCTTTTCTGTTTTTTTTTTTTTTGAGGTGATGAGTATTTTAATTAGCTTAATTATTCTACATTGTATACATATATCAAAATATCACACTGTACTCCATAAATATAACACAATTATGATTTGCCAATTAATAATTTTTTTTAAAGAAATAATTAAGGCTGGGCACAGGCCAGTGTGTCAGAGGGATAGCTGTATTCCAATGTTGAAATCATGGGATGATTTCACCTACAGTCTAGATGGAACTTTGTACCCCTCAGTAACTCCCCATTCCCTCGCTCCACCCCCACCCCTCCAGCCTCTGGCAGCCACATTCTACTCTCTACTTCTAAAATGTCAATGTTTTTAAGGATTCCACATATAAATGAGATCACATGACATCTGTCTTTCTGTACCTGGATTATTTCAGGGTCTCACTCTGTCACCCAGGCTGGAGTGCAGTGGCACTCACATCACTGCAACCTCCACCTCCTGGGTTCAAGCAATTCTCTTGCCTCAGCCTCCTGAGTAGCAGAGACCCTAGGTGCCCGCCACCACACCCGGCTAATTTTTGTATTTTTAGCAGAGACAGGGTTTCACTGTGTTGGCCAGGCTGGTCTCAAACTCCTCACCTCAGGTGATCCACCTGCCTTGGCCTCCCAAAGTGCTGGGATCACAGGCGTTAGCCACCACACCCAGCCTTAATTATTTCTTTTAAAAAATATATTAATTGACAAATCATAATTGTGTTGTATTTATAGAGTACAGTGTGATATTTTGATATTTGTATACAATGTAGAATAAGCTAATTAAAATACCCATTACCTCACTTACTTAACATTTTTTTTTTTGTTGGTAAATTTACTTTTTCAGTTAGTTATCTTGAAATAAACAAAACATTATGACTGACTATAGCTACCCTCTTGTGCAACAGATCTCAAAATATATTGCTGCAGTCTGGCTGAAACTTCATATCCCTGACAGTAACTCCCCATTCCCTCGCTCCACCCCCACCCGTCCAGCCTCTGGTAACCATCCTTCTACTCTCTACTTCTCTGAATTCAATGTTTTCTAGGATTCCACATATAAGTGAGATCACATGATATTTGTCTTTCTGTGACTGGATTATTTTGCTTAACACAATGCCTTCTAGATTCATCCCTGTCATTCCCAAACGACAAAATTTTATTCTTTTTTGAAGGTGAAAACTATTCCATTGTGTATATACTCCACATTTTCTGTATGCATTAGTCTGTTGATGGACACTTAGGCTGATTCCATATCTTGGCTACTATGAATAGTACTGCAATTAACACGGGAGTACAGATATCCCTCTGACACAGATTTCAATTCCTTTGGATATACTTCCACAAGTGGGATTGCTGGATCATACAGTAGTTCTATTTTTCATTTTCTGAGGAACTGCCATACTGTTTTCCATAATGGCTATACCAATTTACATTTCTACCCACAGTGTACACGGGTTCTGTAAGGGTTCCACTTAAAATAATAGACAGAAAGGGCCAAATACTGCTTAGTAATGTATACAGTTCATTCAGACCTTCCTACTCCAGACCACCTATGCACAACTAAAACTGCATAAAATATAAAAGAAAGTAGAAAAAGAGCATCCTATATTCCTATATTCCTCCACCTCTGTCTCTTGTCCCTGGCAAACCTCAGAGGATTTGGAAGAAGTGAACACTTGGTACTGCAGATTGCAAGAACAAATAGGACTGTATTTTCTCATCAACATTTCCCACACGGCCTGGCATCTCTCAGGCTCTAGGTTACAAAATGCAGTGAGGAAGATGTGCTCCTAAGAGGTTTGTACATCATAGTAAAACCCAGGCATTGAATGAAAGACCAAAAAAACAAAACAAAACAAAACAAACAAACAAAAAACCACGAAAGACTTAGGGGGAAGGGGAAAAAACACCAAAAGAAATAGTGTCTCAAATAAAAGATGCATCAGCTGTGAGAATCCACATGATTTAGTTGCAGATTCAGGCTCACTTTCCAAAGTGATTAAATTAGGAGTCATCAGAATCCAGGGCTCTGGGACTCAGGGAGCATAGCACCTGCAACCCCTTGAAGCCCTGGAGTTGTTTCCTGAATCACTTTGCTCAGGTCTCCTCTCTTGGACAACTGTCTCTATCAGTAGCTTCCCTTATCCAACAATCCTGGGTTTCCACATTTTGAACATTTACTTGGATGAGCATGTTGATTTTTAAGCAAGCACTGTCTTATGAATAGGATATAATTTCTGGGCAACTTCACCAACTCTATTAATTTCCCTGGTTGGCATTTAAGTTGTCTATCACCTATTGAAGCCGATTCCATGTTCCTTTGTAGTTAACTAGCCTTATTTGTAAAACAAAGTCAAGTCTGTATTGAAATAAACCTTAAATCAACACTGAAATCATTAAAACACCTGCAAACACACAGAACTTTAGGTCGATTTTACCCACTGCTTCCCTCACAATAGTTATCTGGGAATATCACAGAATTGGCCATTCCAAAGAAGATCATTTCCCCACTTATTAAAGGGTTAAACATCAGGACTAATATTTTTTGCCTAAGTGATTTGGGGGAAGCTTGTAGGAAGCATTTTAGAAATGCATCTCATAACACAATCACAGACACAAAGGAGCCGTGTTCATAAAGGGTCAAATCTGGACAGTGATTAGTGGGAGCAAGCATTTTTGTCTCTTCTCTCTACTCTTCTTTGCCATTAGGCTCTTGGAGGTGTGGGTGACTTTGGGGTCCCTTGGGGATTTTCTTGGCAGTATCCTCCTAATTTTGTGTTTATCAACTTTCCTACCTGTGACACAGCAGCTGTGGTGCTTGCTGTCCCAGACAGCCCTAATGTTCCAAACCCTCATGCCTTTCATCTCCTTGTTACCATTTCTCCTCTTCCCTCAGATCCTCCTCGCCCTGCCTCCTCACCCTTCACACAGGGTGCCAGTCCCTTCTAGATCACATCCACCATCAGCGTGCTTTTCTCTCTTGGCCATTGCATCACTCCTCAGGCCAGTGCTATCCCCGCCTCTCTCTCCTAGATCTCTGCTTTTCTTTTCTTTCTTTCTTTCTTTTAAACTAGCAAAGACCTTTTCTGAATATACTGCCAGCTTCAGGTTCCAGAAGGCTAGTAAAATACATATTTTAGGGTATTGATTTTTTCAAGGTCTATTAGCTTCTTTCTTGGCAAAGCATGCTTAACTAAGGAACATCACATAG